CTCTGTGAATTTCATTCTGCCTGTAAGGCTTCCCCAGGCTTTGAAAGATGTTCAGAGCACATGCTGCCTATGGCTTCCAACCTCCCTTTGATGCTTTCCCAAGCATTTGTTATCACCATATGGCCAATAAACACCACTCTCCCAGCAGCTGGTCATGTATCAGTCATCTATGAAGTTTATAAAAAAACGATGCCTGGGTCTTCGTCACGCCTACCAGAAGGGGGAATGTTGGCGTGGAGGCCAAGACTTTAAATGCACCAAGAAGGAGTTGGAGAGCTGGTTCACTGGCTGGAGTACTTGCAGAGGACCAGGATTTGATTCCTAGCACTTACGTGGAGCTCAGAACCATCTGTGACTCCAGTTCCTGGGGATCTGACACCCACTTCTGACCTCCAGAGGTAACAGGCATGCACACGGTGCACAGACATACATGCAGGTAAAACACTCATAATCATGTGATAATAAAATAAATAAAAATTTAAAAAATGCACTATGTGTTTCCAATGTTCAGCTAAGGCTTAGCCCACTCTGGCTGTATAAAGGTCCAGTTTCCCCTGGCTTTTCAAAGTTGATGGTCATTATGGGAAATGGAGATGCGGAGGCCTGGATTCTAACTCCAGTTCTGACATGAGCAGACCTTTGGCTAGTCTAGCTATCCCAGACCCCACTTTCCTCATCCATCTAGGTGACTCACGAGCTAGGAAGACGGCTCAGTTGGTGCTCGGCCTTTGAGCTTGAGGACCTGAGTCTGAGCCTAGAATCCGAATCTGGTGATGCATGTAGGCCAGTGGTAGATGATGTCTTAAAATGAAGGTGAACACACCTGAGAAATGACACCAGAGACTGTCCTCTGGCCTGCACATGCATGCGCACACATATACACATATCCAATAACTGGCAGCCAGCAAATTACATGCAGTCTGCAGGAAGGTTTGGTTAGTACCCTCCAAGATGGCCTTTAAAATGTCTCTTCAAAAATTAGCTTTACTTAAAAACCAAATTTCAGACATCTTGAACAACTGCAGAATGAATAACTAGACTAGACGCCCTCCCCACACCCTAACCCCACCCCATGTTCATGCTACCTGCATGGATCCCAATGGCACCGAACTTCCTTCCCTCCCTAAACAGGGGGTAGTTAGGCTCCTGTGACAACAACTGTCACTGTGAAGTGACCAATGGAAACACAGAGCGTTATGAAATGACGGTGGTTGACTGCCACGAGAGACGCTGCACCCCTGCTTGCTCTGTTGAGTCAGTATGTAGATCCTTGCACCAGGAAGTGGGGAGCTAGGCCTCCTACCACAGCCAGAAGCAACTGGCCAGCCGTGTGAGTCAACCATACTGAAGAAGACAATCCTCCTTCAGATAAGGACAACCTCACAAGACTAAAGTGTGTGGAGATGTTTGGCTTTTAAAAACTGGAATTTATTAGCTAGGTATGATGACACACCCCTCTAATCCCAATACTCTGGACAGGCAGGCAGATCTCTTTAAATTCAAGGTCAACCTGGTCTACAAAGTTAAGTTCCAGGACAGACAGGGCTATAAAGACTCTGTCTAAAAAACAAAAAAAACCCCAAAAAACCAAAACCCCAAAAACAAACAAACAAAAACTCCAGGTGTTGCCTGCCTTACAAAATTCACCTAATGTACTTAATGACACATAATTGTTTTTATGCTACATACGTAGGTTTTTAAAAGTTCCATAATTATCTTTCTTTTAAAGAGTCAAACGCAGCTTTTACATCTAACACCCGGCACACCTGCCCCATACGTGTATCTGTATCTTCACGCTTGCCACATACACGGCAGCACCCTCTCTTCTTCCTTCCTTACAGGTGTTCTGGGTGCCCCGGCAGTTCCCTATTATCTGATATCTCTATCATTTCTAAAGTGCGCAAATCTGACCACTTTTGTAACTGTGTACGCCAAGTTAGTTACAAATGTTAAACATCATTCCAGAAAGTTTCCCCGGAAGTCACTACCCAGGCAAATCTTGTTTGGATTTCTTTTCTGAGACAAAGTTTTACTACATTGCCCAGGCTGACTGAAGCCCAGGACCCTTCTGCCTCAGCTTCCAGGGGCTACGATAGAGGTTATCAGAGACCATCTTAACTTGACCTACTCTTATTTGAGTGTCTTTTAAACCAAAAGGCAAATGTATATTCTTGTGTAGGTCTGCCTTCTTTCTTTCGTTCCTTTTTTAAGATTTATTCATTTTTAAAAATTTTATGTGCATTGATGTTTTGCTTGCATGAAAGTCTGTGTTAGGATGCCAGATTCCTTGGAAATGGAGTTACAGACAGTTGTGAGTTGCCATGTGGGTGCTGGGAATTGAACCCCGGGTCCTGGAAGAGCACTTAGTGCTCTTAACTGCTGAGCTATCTCCCCAGGCCAGCCTGGAGTCTTTCAAAGTAATATTTTTGAGACTGACCCACTGTGTTGAGTTTATGAATGGCCTTCCTCCTCCTCTTTTAAAAAAACGTTCTTGAGTGTGTGGGATCAAACCAGGACCTCTGACATATCAGACAAGTGCTACACACTCAGTCCTTTATTCTTTTCTACTAACTAGTAGAATTACACTGAAAATTACAACTTACAAATATTCTTAAGTTTTTACTAACAACGGCTTTTACAGCCGTTTGCCTCTCTTCTTGGATTATAAAGTCTAGAAGACTGTCTTGCACATGGCAGGTGCCAAATAGGTAAGCAAAACATACATATAAGTAACTTATTTCCATCAAAAACAAATTGCAGACACAAATGTTCACGGTAGGGCAGGTGTTAAGAGCTGAGCACTCCTAAAGTAAGGTTTTTTTCTAAGTCAGCACCCACTTAGCCAGGCTCATTTTCCAGAGCTTCCTCACAAACTCCACCCACTGGCTACCCCTTGCTCAGCTCCTGGAAGGAATATTAGCAAAGGACAAGCTACAGGTGTAGCAGGCACCAGAGTAAGCAAGTCACAAGCGTGACTATTTAACCCTCACAACAGCTTATAATGCAGGCGTATTGTTATCTCTGTTTCCCATGTAAAAGCTACAAAGTGGCAGGAAGCATACCTAGGGAATCCAGCCGCAGGCTGTGCCTCACCAGCCCCTCGTGTCCTTAGCAGCAGCTGCAACATACCCACCTTGAAAACTCTAGGTGAGGTGACCAGCGAGGCGAATGTGTACCTTGGGGCTCAAAAACTGGTGACATCAAGTATGTTGTTCCCCACGCTAGTACTGTGAATCAAAAAAGTGCTCCTCCCTTCTCCTCTCTTTGTCTCTCTCTCAGTCAAAGAAGCGCCTTTTAGGTCTCTGCCTCTCTTCTCCTCCTCTCGCTTCCACAGTCCAAAGAGGATCTGAGCATGGGAAGCACAAACAATGGAGTAGCGAGGGCTACCTCCCTCTGTCTGGAAAAACGCCTAGAGTTCACACCACACTCAGAGTCCAAAGGAGCTGTCCCGGATATCCTGTTTTTCAAGCCAGTTTACTTCCTCTAAAAATGCCAACCTGCACCCACTCCCACCCCCTACAAGCTTGCTGTCTTTTTCACTCCCTTGCCAGTCACGGTGGACTCAGTGATCAACCTTCAGAGGTAGAAGGGGATTTTGCCTGTCATGTGGAAGTAGCCAGAGCCCTAAGATGCTGATAATGAGGGTATAATAAAACTCCTCCTTAGACAGCGGTATTTTTTTAACCTTGGGAAAATGGGGACACTGGTCCCATCCTTGGCTTTCCTAAGTTTAGCCACCATCACCTGGGGCTCTGTCCTTCAGAGACCAAAGCTCAGTAAACGCAATCTCACTAAAGCAGAAACAAATACGGAGGCAGCCGTCATAGATTTTATTTAACACAGCGGAAACAAACTTAAAGCTGTGCACTCAGAACAGTGATCAGGCGCCTGTGTGTGTGTGAGAGAGAGAGAGTGAGAGAGAGATAGAGAGAGAGAGAGAGAGAGAGAGAGTGTGTCTGTGTTCAGAGACAGAGTGTACAGAGGAAATTGGTGGCATCGGATGAATTTCTCAATTGATCCCAAGCAAATTCCTCACCACTTTCCGTGACTGTAAACTAAAAAACGGTTTCAGGAGATAGTCTGTAGGAGTATACCGAATTAGAAAATGCTGTGATTTTTCTCCAACACGCAGGACTATAGTACAGCAAAGTCATCTTTAACGAAAAGCTGTTAACTTGATCCCCTAAAGACTCTTTCACCGTGTTATTTCCTTATAGAGGAATCCAAGAGACTCCCTAAGGTCTCTTACATATTTTTTTTTCATTTCTCTGTAAGTTTTCAATACACCTATAAAAAGGCCTAATTTAGATAACTACTTTATTTTATTTTACAGGGTCCAGGCCCGGGGCCTTGTATACAAGAGCCCTGCCCCACCCTATCTTTCTCATTCCCAGCTCTTATCCATTATTGTTTTGCTCCATTTGGGGGCTGGTCTCTCGATGATACGATGCCCACTTTTTTTTTTTTTTTTTTTTTTTTTTGCTTCTGGTACTTCCTCCAAGACATCTAGCCAAAAACACCCAGTTCTTCCTCTTGGAGCCGTTGCTCAGTAAGTTCTCAATTCTTTACAGCTTTTTTTGAATTGTCCTTTTCTCAAATGAACTAAATCTCTGCAAGACGCAAGGTACAGTAAGAATGGATGGAAAGTGGTTCCAGGCTTCCTTAGGCAGGAACCGTGGTGCACCAGCGGGCTTCTCCTCCCCCAAAACGTCTAGAACGGATGCGCGTAGTTGGCGCCGACACACCACTAGGACCTGAAGCCTGCGGCCGCGGCAGGTGCACGCAGCCGGGTACCAGGTGTCAGCCATCCAGGCGACGCAGGGCATGTGCCCAAGATGCGGGGGCCTCGGGGAGGGTTCGCCAGCCCAGGACCTGCCGCAGGGCCGCATCCTAAGCCGCCTCCTCTCCGCCAGCCTGGCGGTCCCGCCGCCCGGAGGCTCCAGGCGCGGTGGCGCAGCAAGAAAGACAGATGCGGGGTGGGGATGCCGCGAGCCACTCACCAGATCCGAGGACGACGCAAGAGACGACCCGAACAGCTATTGCGACCGGCGGAGGGCTGCAGAGGGACCGTGGCGGCGCCGCACTTCCGGCCAGGGGGCGGGGCGGAAGGAGCGGCAGCAAGCTGGGCGCGACCAACCGCGGCCGGGGGGTGTGCGGCTAGAGTGTCGCTGGACTCGGGACCCGGCGGCCAGCGATGGCGACTAGCCTGGCTTCGCAGCTCGACGAACTGAGCCTGAATGGCCACGAGTACGGATTCCTCAACTCACCTGCACTGTATCCCCCTTCCGCAGTCGCCCCGCGACCCGCCAGCCTCCCCGGCTTCCCGTGCCGGTCCCCCGGTCCTTCCGCATTCCTCGGCCAAGGGCGGAGCGCCAGCGCTGGAATTTGACCCGGGTGGGCCGCGATCCGCCCTGGTTTTGGGGTCCCCTGGCGCCCGTAGCGGCCAGTCCGAGGTTGCTTGGTTTAGCAAAGGGCGGTTGGCCTGGTTGAACTGAACTTTTGATAAACAGTTCCAGAGAAGGAATGTAACACGGAAGAGGGCGGAGGCTGAGCACTCCCCCGTGAGCTCCAGAGCCGCCTTCGCTGATTTGAAATCGCTCTCCAGCCAGTGTCCTTTACTTTCTCCCCAGTTCCAACTTGCGGATTATCAGGGCTCAGCCAATTTTGAGTTATTCTTGAAGGCTAGAATTAAGAGTACGCACTGCGCAGGATCTGTTCTAGATACTATGCATGGTGTATTCTTGAGGATAGGTTTTTTTTTTTCCCCCTCATTTTGGAATAATCTAGGTGAGTAGCACTATTTTGAAATAATGGATAGTCAATCTAGTAATAGTCTTGATTAAGCACTCACCCTCCCCCCCCCCCCCCCCCCATGTGCCAGGCGCTAGGGAGACAATTAAAAAAGGTCTTCCCTCTGGAGTTTACATATTCTAGAAGTCTGATCAGAAATTCCTAGAAGGTAGGGAGAGGACACAATTGTGTGTCCAGCACCGAGCAGTACTTACAACAACAAAAAAGGCAGGGGCCAGAGAGATGGTTCAGCAGGTGAAGGTGCCTGCCACCAAGTCTGACTACCTGAGTTAAGAGTCTCAGGACCCACAAAGAGAACCAACTCCTGCAAACCATCCACATGCAGGCAGCAAGGAATGAGCAACTCCCTCCCTCCGCAAACAAAATACATATATAAGATGTAAAATAAAACCCCCCAAATAAACCGAAGGTGGCTTTAACACTGCACTTGAAAATCTGGCGCTGGTATTGAATAGGTCAGAGATGGAAAATAATTTCCGTTTTTAATAGGCATCAGGTAATGCTGATACTATGTCTAATCCTGAGTATTCTTTCCACTTCAATGCCGTCTGTCCTTAAGTCATTGTTTAAATAATTATGTTTGTTATAAAATCTTAAGAGTTTGTCACAGAACTCTTCCAGTCTACTAACACTTCCCACACGATGTAAGAGCAGCTAATAGGCAGGCTGTGGTGGCACAGGCCTTTAATCCTGGCATTACAGTAGCAGAGAAGCAGGCAGGAGGATCTTGAGCTCAAGGCAAACTTAACACAGCAAGACCACTTCTCAAAAAAGCAGGGAGTGAGGCTGCAGGGGCAATCAGGCAGAGGCTGAGTGTTTGCTCTGCCGTTGAACAAAGGCCAGACTTTACCCCTCTATAAAAGACGTCATCGTTAAGAATAGGCCCTTTGAGCCTTGGCTTCCCTTCCGGATTTCTTCTCAGGAACCCGCTAGTGAGCAAAATAAGAAGAACTACAATTTGCTTATCTGCTGCATTCAGAACCTTCTTTTTCAAGTTTCTAATTTTTTGTAACAAACTTCGAAGGAAGCCTTCCTGTTTCAGATGAGGAAGCTGGCATTTAAGAACAGCCCGACCACAAATCTACTTGGGTAATGAGTGGGCTTTATTCAACCACACCCAGCTCTAGATCCATGTTGCTTTTAATTATAAAATGCAATTAGGAACAGCATTGATTTATTTTAGAAGTGGATAAAGAGGTCAACAAAGGTTAAGTAGCTTGCTTACGCCCGTAAATCCCTGGTGTAGCAGAACTGGGACTTGAAACTTCAGGTCTGTCAGAGCTCTAAACGTCAGCATTGTTCACTACACTGTTTCATTGTGGTTTCTGTATTCTTAACTACCTGATGGCTGACGCATGGCAAAGCTCCCTACACTTCTCTGTGACTGGGTAACTACCCTCATTCCTCCTAAACCAGCTTTCTGTAACTGTTTCTGTTCACTGTCCACTTGTCCTTCCTTACTCTCTTCAGTCTGCCTTTTATTCTGGCCGTCCTCCCTTTGTCCCAGCTGCATTCACTTCCTGCCCTAAGTCTCAGGTTCCCTGCTCAGACGCACTCAGTCTGGGCACTGAGTCTCAAAGGCAACATGACCATGAGCAGACGGTGGGGTGCTGCCCCTTGGAGTGCTTTCCTGGGGCTTTTGAGATCATTTTCATCATGGAAACTCTAGAGACGGGTTCTGTAGTCAAGTCTGCTGCTAGGAGACAATCTGACAGCTTTTCATTGGCAGCCATTCCTGTGTAAGCAAAACCCAGCTACTATGCAGAGTCCCACAAGTAAACTATTTCGTTTCATTGAGGGCTGACACCTACTGGCTGTGTTTACAGGGTTGCCCGGGTGGAAATGTGAGAGATAATTTTAGCAGTACTTTCTTCCTAGAGTGGAAGTAACTTATTCCTGCTTGAAGATGTGTTAACGCAGAGATGGTAGCTTGGGGTTTGTACTGTTTTCAGTAGCAGAGATGGTAGCTTGGGGTTTGTACTGTTTTCAGTAGCAGAGATGGTAGCTTGGGGTTTGTATTGTTTTCAGTAGAAATGGAAATTCGACAAGACTAGCACTGAGTGGATAAGCTGAGAAAGTTATTTTGCTTAAAAAAAATGAAATTCAAAATTCAAGCAGGAAATTAGGGCAGATTTCTGAGATTGTCATCTTGGCAGAAGCAAAGAGCAGTTGTTCTGATCCTGTCCCCTGCCCCCATTCTACTTGGCGGCTCTGGCTCTCTAACCTGCTGCTCAAAGGCATTCCTTAATTGTTTATCAAATGAGGTAATGGTTTCCTTCAAGGACAGTCTTGTTGAAGCAAACCCACCAACCCCCATGCTTCAAACCTTTTTAAACTTGGGAATTTTTGAAACATTAGAAAACTAAACAGAACAAGTGTTTTCCCCGATTAGCTCAGCAACAGTTCTGAATTATCACAAATAACAGGAGTTATTTTAGGATCGAAACAATGACCTCACTTTCCCAGGCATGCCGCCACAGCTGTTGTGACCGCGGGTAGGTTAGGAATGTCTAAAACTCATACAGGATGACTCTCCGCATAAACAAACATGGTCTTTCAATAGGGGTTGCTATAAGGGAAAAACTGTACCCAACAAAAAATACTACGTGTATTTCCAACAGCTGGAAACACAACACAGACATCTTTTGTTAAAAGCATTCCATAGAACCTTTAGCGCTGAATCGAGTTTGTCGACAGAACAAATGAAAATTAGTATATTTAGTGGCCTGATCTTATTTTAGGGGGCAGGAAGTAATGGGCAGAAGTTTAAAGTCGGAGGAGATAAAGCAAGAGTGTCGAACTCTAGTATCTCAAGCTGCTCAAGTGGTCACAATTATGCAGGAATTGTTTTCAAAATTGTAGACCAAGTCTAGGAAACCCAAATAGGGCAGTTAAAATCTGATTTCCCCAAGAGGGGAGAAATAAACAGGAACAGAGGAAACCAGGGCTGCTTTTAAAAAGACAGGGAACACTGGAAGGAGCTAAGCAAGCTCAGACAGGATCTGCCCTGCTTTCAAAGACGCAAGTGAAACTAAGATCAAGTGGGAAATAAATTTAAACGACTAAGTTTTTTATCAAGAAAGTTTAATTATCATTCAGAAAAAATTGAGTGAATAACTTTCTCTGAAAAAATATATTGACTCTGTGTGGGCTGCAGTTGTTACACAGCAGGGACGAGACGGCCTGAAAGTCCCGTGACCTGACTTTCTGGTTGGATAACGACACCAAGTCCCATTTCCAGTCTGATTATAAAGATATATGTGGCCCAAAGAGGCTGAGATTATATAAATACAAAACAAGACAGGCAAAAAGCAGTAAGCTAGGGCATGCACCGGGTGCTAGGAGAAAAACCTCACAAATACCCTAGGTGGCAACAGGGAACATGTAGCTGGAATTTGAAGTTCTTCAGTCATCTTTGTCTTTTGCTCCGTGCTTGAGGATGCGTGTGAACTCGATGTAGTTGAAATTGCCCTTTTTGTCAATGGGGGCCTCCCTGTAGAGCTCATCCACTTCCTCATCTGTGAAGCGATCGCCCATGGTTGTCAGCAGCTCCCTCAGGTAATCCTCCTGGATGGTGCCTGGAGAGTAAGGAGTAGAGGATCAGAGCACACATACCCACCGCACAGTCATGTATTTTCACGGGCCTGCGACCCTAACAGAGAGACAACCCGCTGCTCATGGCGTTCCTCTGCTGCCTGCCTGTCCCACATCCTTCCTGTTGGCTTGGTGTTCAGCAAGAGGCTATACAAATTGTACAAGCCAATAGTAGTCACCAGTTACCTGACATTTTCATAAAATCCTCCTGTCAAAAAGAATGGAATTACTCACAAAACAGAAGCAGGATCCTGTGTTAGCCCTCATTTCTTTCTAGTACTGGCAGTTTTAAAGAACCCCTCAAGTAATTTGTATGCACAATGATTAAGAAACCTTAATATACTATAGGTGGAAAAGAAGTGAAACAGATTAATCACAAAGCAAAAGAGAACAGACTCTGACAATTTCCTGGGTGTGAAATTTAATACACTAAGAATACATTTTCCACAAAGTGAGAACGACAAACAAAATGAGATTAATAAAGAAACTCCAATCCTATATTTTTAAAGAAGGTCCCTAAAATCTTAGATGGGTAGCTTTGTAGAAATACATCATTAACTCCAGCCAACTCACTTGATTGGCACATGAATTAGCTGTGGTTGGGAGTAAGCACACAACTAAAATATACCCCCACGCATGTGTCAGGAGAGAGACACAAGTGAAGAACTTGGTGCATGGAAAGAGGAGCCAGGAAAGAGTCTACAAGTCACATTCACATGCTCGTGTGTGCCTCTTTTGTGGCTGACGGCCATATGTGAAAAGATGACTATGCTATGGGGAGCCTGAAAGCTAGAGCGAGGAGACCAGGCTTATACCAGCTGGCCCTGCCAACCACGGGCATTTAAGACTAGCCTATGTAGTAATGTCGGCAATCAGAGGGCGTCTTCCCTCTCTACACACACTGGCCGAGACACAAAGTAGAAAACTTAGAAAATATGTCCCATATGCTTTCTCCCCTACTTTTGTCAAAGGACCAGGCATTCCAATAGTTAACACTGTTAGTTTTAGTGGTTTGTTTTGGGGGATATAGTCTTCTATATCCCAAAGCCATGATTCTAGACTCAGCTTCCTGAGCCCTGGGCTTACAGGCTCTAGTCTTGCAGCACAGCGCCTAGCGCTTCCTTCTTCTCAGTCAGCTGCATGCCAGCAGCATGCTGGGCGCTAACTACCCATCTCATCCCCCATTTCATCCTCATAACAGCCCTGCTAGGTAAGGTATTGCCAGTTTCATCAAAAATAAAAACAGAACCTTACCAAAGTAATCTGCCCAAATACACAGCTATCACACAGCAGAAGAGGAACCTGAAAGCTGCTCACCTGACTGATACCAGAGTCTAAGTTCTTCTTGCCATATTTTAATATAGAGGTTAGATAGCAATTCTGGAGTTGAGAGATCCCTGACAGGCAAACACAGGACACCACTGTGTTTAGAGCGGTCTAGAGCAATTTACCAGGCTGCTCTGGTCAGTCACTCACTTAACATAGTACTGACAGCCAGGACCTTGGGGCAATTAACCTTTAAGTCAAAGAAGCTGCAAATTTAACCAACAAACTTCTGAAAACGACTTATACTAAGGAGCCCAGAAAAAGTCTACAAGTCAACACTCACACACTCACGTTGGGGGCGGGGAGTAAGGCGAGTGACAAGCACACAAAAGAAAGCTGCAGAGAAAACCTTCAAAAAGTGCTAACTCACCACACTGTGTATCTTGTTACATAACTAAACAGCATTGAGATTAAGTCACCCCGACTTACCTGTTGCTTCCTCATCAAAGCAAGCGAAGGCGTTTCGGATGACATCCTCGGGATCTGTGCCATTCAGCTTCTCTCCAAACATGGTGAGGAACATGGTGAAGTTGATGGGGCCCGGGGCCTCGTTCATCATGGCATCCAGATATTCATCAGTTGGATTTTTTCCTAAACAAAAGGAGCCATATTCATAACTACATTATGCAATACACCAACTCTTAATCACGGTACACAGCCTAGCGGGAAATGAAACCACTATATTGTTTGCTATTTGGGTTCATGATAGCAAAACAAGGGAAAGTTCAGAGATCTACAACAAATATGTAATATTCCAGTGAGATGGCAGAAGGATTAATACTGCTTTTAATCAAGATCTCTCACTTTCTCTTTATAAGGATTTAGTTTTAATTATGTTTGTATGTCTGTGGGTGCATGCACAAGGGTGCAGGTGCCCAGAGAATCCTCCTGCAGCTGGAGTCACAGGTGGTTATGAGCTACTGAATGTGGGTGCTGGGAACCCAACTCAAGTCCTCTGAAAGAGCTGTATGCACTCACTTTCTCAAACAGCACCCACATGCCTGCATGCACACACAGCCCTTCAGCCCAACCCTGAGACAGGCACAGGTGTCTGCGTGTGCCCCAGTGGGAAACACTGCTCCAAAATCAATCACTTAGACGGACTCCATAGAGCTTTAAGAATCACGAAAAAAATGAAGGAAATCCTAGCAAATACATCAACACTGTAAGTGAACATTACCCATTGAAGCGAGCATGTCATGCAAGTCCTCCTTGTCGATGAAGCCATCCCGGTTCTGGTCGATCATGTTGAAGGCCTCTTTGAACTCTTGGATCTGGGACTGGTCAAACATGGCGAACACATTGGATGTTGCGCGCTGAGGGCGCTTCTTGGTGGTCTTGGTCTTTGCCCTTTTGCTCGACATGGTGGTGGTTAAATCCTAATTAAGAAAGAATTCAAGGGAAATAAAATCAGTATTTAAGATTACTAAGTATAAATAACAGAGATTAACAAAGATAAGTGGAATTGTCCTTTTATCAGTTGGCATGTTTCAGTGGGGTAACACAATTGTGTCAAGATTTCTAGCCATTCAGGACTATCACCCCAACAACCACACTAAAAGAGAAAAGCCAGTCTTCAGTTTTGAATTAATTCACTCTTAAAGTTGAAAGACTTTTATAAAAGGACCATCACTTCCAATCCCACAAACATCAAGTCAAAGTTGACAGCACATCAAGGTTATATACAAACCCCTAGTACCACCATAGAGCCTAACAACAAAAGAAAAATAAAATCCAAGGAGGTGCGTGCATGCGTGCGCACAAGAGAGAGAAAAAAGCCCTTAGATACCCAGGAAACAGTGGCAGTTCTTACACACCAGCACTGCAGGTTTGCTAGGAGAGACTAACTAGTGTTCCAAAGCCTAGCCTCCTGTAGCTCAAGTCATCAGAGAAAGAACGACCAATGGAAGAGGTCTTCCCTTCCAACCTCTACTGACAGGTGCTATTCTTCCATTCAGAGAACATTTCAGATTGCACCCTCATTTCTGGATTCAGCGTCGTTTAAGAACATTTTGCTGAAAGGCTAACATAAAGGCATAGAAACTGAAGTTAATTCACCAGGAGTTAAGTCTTACAGACTGTACTTTATACAGACCTGCTCTGCACTCAATACCCGGTACAGCTAAGGCTTCTCTTTTGAAATCAGAGTACAAGCTGTAAGCAATTCCGTTTAAAGAACACCTTAAGATCATAGATACTATCTTTGCTCTCTACTTATCCCTGTCAAACTTAAAAGAACATCTAATACATAAAATGAAAATATTTTTCCTGTGAACATGCAACTTTAACAGCACTTTAAAATGATTGAAGTGGAAAACCCCCTAGTTATCAGATAATCAAATTCTAGCATACCATTCTTCAGGGATGAGGTGGAGACGACAGCCCACAGAGTCCTGATCAGCAAGCCTAAGCCACTGCTGAGTTATATTCCTCCAGGCAGGGCTAAAACAGTGACTACTGACTCCACTCTGACCAAGATAACAGTTTTAAAGCTTACGTTCTGAAAACAACATTTAGCCATGATGCAGCAAAGCACCATGCCCTTGCGCTAAAAATAAGTCTGTGGACTGCAAAGAATGAACCGCTACCTAGATTCCAGCACCCAAAGTGACCTCTAGAATGTTTCCTATGAGGTAAAAAAACAAAAATAAAAAAATAAAAAGTTAGTTTTTACATTCTTTCCTTGACCGCACCGCACCATCAGATCAAAAACAGCTATGGAAACATCAGAACAGCTCTGCTCACGCGGCTCCCTATGTAAATCTGGTTTCAGGTTTTCGTAGGAAATCCTTAAACAGATGGTCAGTCACAGATCCAATCCATCTGCATGTAGGCAGTATAGCAGCATGTCTTTGGGAAGATGCCACACACAGCACAGAAATGATATAGTCCCAAATTTCCTACTTTTATTTCTCCTTTAGGAGACTGTCTTTTACAACCTACTTGAAAGCATTCGTAAATTCGTATTTTCACTATGGAGGCATATGTCTCATTTACTACACAAAGTTGCATTCTTTCCCCCATCTAAATGGCTACTGGCAGGTATGACGGGATGTGCCTTTTAAAAGCCCTCACGAACTCCGGTGAGTGGCACATGTTTACCAGTCCACAGCTCTTCACTATGTTAGCATGGTCTACCTTTGCGAGCAAAAATCATCTTCAAAAATAGCCTGTTTGCATGACAACATTGTTTCCCTTCCCCCAATGACACAGGAATGTCAGTTATGTTAAGAACAGAAAAACTGATGAGAATCACAGTCAAATGGCTGCAGAGGTGGATTTTTACTCTATAAAATCTCACAGAAAACTAAATTTGATGAGTGCAATCTTAAAATTCCTTTATTAAAAATGCTTAACATGTTAAAAGTAATATGTATGTAACCTTTAAGACTATATTTCTTATTATTTAAACCATGCATTTAAAAATTAGTAAATGCACTCTTTCCGTTCCCGGCCGCCACAGCGAAAGGAGATGCTGCCATGTCTGCGCATGTGCAATGGATAGTGGTTTGGAACTGCTCCAGCTCCCTGATCAAGAGGAATAAGAGAATGTACAGCAATCTGCAGGCCAGCAACTCCTGCTACAACTGGCTGACTCACAGCAAGACTATGGAGTGCAGGCTGTGGCTGGGGGCAAAGAGGTCACGGTGGTCATGAATCCCAGATCTGGTCAGCTAAAACCAGACACTTCTTACGTAAGGACCACCATCAACAAGAATGTATGGCCACCCTCAGCAAACCAGGCACATGATCCAAAAGAACAGATACGCACTTAATCTGGGCATGGCGGCCATCCCCAGGGCCAGTGTCATTCTGACAAGCCAGAAGAAGCCTGTGGTGGCGAAGAGGAAAGGGACAGCCCCACCAGAGTTCCTGAGCCCCACACCCCAGAAGCAACAGAATCCACTGACTTTTTCAACCACCAAAACATTAGTAAATGCATCACAAAACAATCAAAAAGAAATTTTTTTTTGTTTTTTGGTGTTTTATTTAGCATTAACAATAGCTTCACCCAGAACTTTAGCTCATCCCGTGCTTAATTCGAATGACTGTATTAGGACCAGCTAATTATATTAATGCATATCAGATGTTATTAGCATTGAACAATAGTCAAAAGTTAAAAATGTAAAGTACATAAGTGACCTATCTCAAAGAAGTTAAAATATAGTTGGAGAGGCAACTATAAAGAAATGCAATGATTAGTTCAATTTATGAAATGAACTACATATACTTCAGAGGTATGACTCTCAAGCTAAAACAATGCATAAAAATAATGAAATAATGAAGCCGGGAATGGTGGTACATTCCTTTCATCCCAACATCGGGGAGGCAGATACAGGTGGATCGAGGACAGCCAAGGATACATAGTAAGACCTTGTCTAAAACAAACAAACCGGAGGGGAGGCTAAATAACCCTGTGCTTTATCAGTTGGAAATTATAAACTTCCTTTATAATCAAGAGTCAGATGTTTCATCTTAATTCAAGCAGTTAATTCTGTCCAAATCCGATAACGTAACGTTGAGCAAGTTACTCCCTGGGCCTCAACTTTTTCAAGGAGATGAGACTGATTCTCCAGAAACTTGGAGCTTCACAGCCGTGGGATGCTCAATTACACATCTATACAAAACAATAGAAACTATTTATTAGTTTCACACCAAACCACAAGCATGGCTGGAATAAACTTAGGTAAAGGGATCACCTGGAGAAAGGTGCTATGATCTCAAAGAGATAATTGGCAGAATTGGTAGAACTCTCTTTGCTGTGGTTCTAAGACACTATTCTACTGTCTCCAAAAGTGAAGGTGTAAAACACAATTCTCATGCTAGCTTAAAAAGTTAGAGCAAAATGAAATTGCAAATATTTTACAATCACAGTGACTATTTTTTATTTAGGGTGCATGAGAGGAACACGTGAGATCCTCCTCACTTTGGAAGCCTTGGGAAAGATCTTTGGGGTGAAACTTGAAAAGCAGGGAAATTTGCAGACTGGCCTTCTAGAGAACACACGAGGGTTTCAAAGCATCAGAAAGAGAAAGAAGGCAGTCGAAAGTGGTCAGGACAATCTGACTTACATATGGAAAGGCGTATAATGTTTTAAGCTAAGTTAACAGTGCTTCAGCAATGACTAATATGGGGAGGGTTGTTTTTTGCAGTTCTGGGAATGAATCCTCAGGCCTCACACACGCTCGGTAAGCACTCGACTACCGAGCTACATTCCCAGCACGAGTGATTTTGTGCGTTAGTTTGCTAAGATGGGAGTCCATGCTTAAGGAAGACATCAGACTATGAAGACATGGGAAAACAAAAGACAGATCGTCAGAGAGGCTTTCTATACATACCAGATTTTTCAGGATCTTTAGAAATGTAGAATTTATTACTAAAGCTGGGTGTGGCGGTTCACAACTAGGTATATAATCCTAGCACTTGAAGCAGGACCATCTCAAGTTCTAGGCTAGCCTGGGCCATAGTGAGGCTCTTTCCATAACAACAACAGAGCTGCCTGTGAAACCTATGAAGTGGGACCAATCAATACTAGATTATACATGAGATTGCCTAAGTTAAAATAGCAGGATCTCACAGCTCCTAAACCGGTAACACACGTAAAAGAGAAAAATCCTTTAAAGAATATCTAAAACAAGCATAGTTAGGAAAGTTATATTAAAATACCTTTTAATGAAAAACCCTTAAAACTGGGTGATACATCCTTTGGAAAACTCCCATCTCAGAACCTCATAGTGTGCTATAAGACCTAGGTATTTGGCCTGCTTCAAACTCCAGATCAAATCTGTCTCATTTAATCAGTGTCATTTGTTTCCAAGATAAGATTTTTGGGTGTGTGTGGGCAAATTCAGTATTTGAAGGTATATTTTCAAATCGGGTATTTCAGTCCCAAGGAGAGCCAAGTTTTCATTTCTCAGGCACATTTCCAGCTGAGAATCGATTCAAATCTCCCAGACAGCCACACCTAAGAAGTCTGAGCACTTTTTAAAACGTCAATTAGTTGTCAGGATTGACTTGTCAACTACGTCTCACTTTTGAAGATAAAATGCTTTTCTATTTAATCCTTATCAAGGGCCATTCAGAAAAAGAAAATATCAGCAATTTTAGTAGACTCGCTTTTTTCACCTTTTGAAATTTAACTTCTTTTGCATTTAAGAAGTTAAAATCTTAAACGATCGATCTCTAAAGATCTATTTTTTACATATCTACTGGACGACTCTAACTAAAAATACTCTGTAAAGTCGACTTAGTACCCTCGAGAGGCCAATGTAACCCCAATCTCTCCTCCCTGTTCAAACATCACTCAAAGAAAAAGTTCTAATTAGAGGAGCGCACACTGAGCTGCTAAATTTGAATGGGTTCTTCCTACTAAACACGTAGCCGCACAGCTGCAACAACAGCTGCAGAGGGCGGCTGTGCAACGCTTTTATCTGCAAACTCTCTGGAAAGTTTACGTTAGCAACCAAACATAGTTTCGGAGTCAGCTCTGTGGGGCTCCGGTTTCTCGGGCCCAGGCGTGTGGCGCCAGCGACCTAAGCATCATCTTCTAAGCTCCAAGTTTGGCAAACAGAGCAGTTTGCATCCCGGCCGTCCCGGCAGCCCCAGCCGGAGGCTTTCCTGCCCACAGCCGCCCGCGATCACGCAGGCACACCTGCCCAGGTGTGCTCCCCGCTTTCCCCTCGCTTCCCGCCGTCCCGCGGGGACGCCTTCTCGGGACGGGCCACGCACGCCCCGAGGCCAGCTCCACTCACCCTGCCCAGCCGCGAGAATCGAGGGTGTCTCGGCGATGCTCTGCCTGCCGCTCTCACCGACTTAACAACTATCCAGCAGTCCCAGAACGGCCACTTCCGGCCTCCGCCAGCAAACCGGAAGGAAGCCTAGCCACCATTCCCACCGCCTTCGTGGGCCGGCACCGCCGGGAGGGGACCCCAGGGAACATGCCCGAGCGGTTGGCGGGCGCACGGCGCCCACGGGCAGCACAGAGCGAGGAACTTAGAACTGAGAGGGTTGTGTAGAGGATCTCTTGTTCGAATTACTGACTCTTCGCCTTTTTCGTGTCTCTTCTGGAATTGCGATCGTCTCCCCCCTTCCTCCTGCAGATGGTTGCGTCCGTCCCGCCGCTTTCCTTCGCCCGCATTCCAGAGCACGGCGAGGGGCGGGGATCCCGGCTCAAGTCCTTGTAGGGGAATCGCGAAGGGACGCGGGGCCGCACGTGACTGGATCGGCTCCGCCCCCGAGCGCCGGCGGCGCGGTCCCGGCTGGAATGCGCCTGTGCAGGAAGTTCGCGTGAATCAGCGTCTGGGTCAGCACCTCAGGCTCCGCTCGGCGCGGAGAGGGCGTGTGCGAACCATTTGGAAAGTTGCGAAGTGGCCTTTTATGGAGTACCTCACTCTCCACGTGGGAGGGAACACTGAGCCTTCAGGGCCCCGTTGTCTCTTTGGTCCAGATTCTTCCCTCGCCCAAAAAAAGTTCCTTGGAACTTCCTGCAAGAGTCCCCTTTAGCCCCGATGGTGACTCCTGCTCCACCCATCGCTCGAGGGTGACTTGGTGAAATAGGACTAAGTGCCGGACCCAGTTACCCCCCAGGTCTCCTTTACGTGAGTTGGCGGCCAGCGATGGTTCTGGTTAAAGGGAAAGGGAAAGCCTCCAGGACCGCTTCTGGAGGCTGTACCAGCTCGGACCCAGAAGCAGATCGCGATCCAGGGGAGACCAAAGCAGTTCTAGAGTTCCTTCTCATCTCCAGAGCTCTGTCGCTTGACCCAGGAAAACGATGGCGCTGTTCTAAATAATACGTGTTAAATAGTCCTAAGACCAGCTCTTTTCTTCATGGAACTCATGTGATATGGTTTAAAGTTAACTCAGAGGTAAAGCCACTGAAGAAAATAAAAGCCCTAGTCCTATAGGTGACAGAAACAAAATTTCCCTCCCTTCTTTGATAATATGAATCATTTTGGAGTGCTAACTAAAAATACAAATAATTGAGTAATTCATTCCCAGCTCCCTGAATCAAGACCGTCAACAGCAGGTTCTGGGGAGTCAAGGGCTTAAGGGGTCTAGCATGACTTTTTGGGAAAGTTGGGCACACAGCTGGTGGCAAGCCGTGACAGTGCAAAGGAGGACCCAGGAGTCAAACTGTGGTAGGTTCTTGGAGTCTGACTTGTGGGGCGGCAGCACACTACCCTCCTCTGGTACTGGCCTGTCCCAATGGGATGCTCGGGCCTTTAGGCCTGGCTGTCCTGCGGAGGAAAATCAAAACCCCTGTAGATGATAACAAGGAAGCAGGCGGTTCAGTTTCCCCTTCACCTGGGAAACAGTGCATTGTTGGCTTCTGTAGGAATTCCCGCCGAGTCCCCGTCAAATCAGCCAATATGTACCAAATTGGTAAACACTGTGCCCCGGGCTGCGGTTTGCCCATTTTAAAATGAACAGTTGCCATCTCTGGGATTGGGTTGTGTGATGGAACAGAAAGCGGGGAGAATTACAAGAAACAAACATGCGAAAGGTTACAGAACAAATACACCTACCTGGGGAGTACTGGAAGACGTCCCCAGAGGGCAGTTGGACTGATTCCAGGGGTTAGTGGCGGAAAGGAGACAGGCATGTTCAGTTGTCTGGAGGCATAAAGAATCTGGCTGTTCGGAAGTTGTTCTGTTTACCCTTTATTCATTTCCAGAGAACTATGGATATACCAAGTCAATGTGGAAAAATGAAGTCTTACTACTTTACCTAATGTTCTGATATCAAATATTAATGATTAGACCCACTACTGAAGGCCTCTTATGCTGTTTGATGTCCCTGTTCTTTTGGAACTTGGATCTTCCTCAAACAGTGGGTGAGTTCCTTCTCACTACAAGTTTGACAGTCTGAGTCAAACTTCCATGTCTCCTTTAGTCAGCTGTGCAACTCTGAGAGCAAGTCCCTCCATTGACCTCAGTTTTCTATATTTCTTCAGCTGGCCTTACAGGGCTTTAAGAAAAATCTTATTTTTCTTAAAGATTTTATTTTGTGCATGTGGATGTTTTGCCTGCATGTACATCTGCACACCAGAAGAGGGCATCGGATCCCACAGGATTACAGTTATAAACAGTTATGCTGCCACATGGGTGATGGGAATTGAACTCTGGATCTCTGGAAGAGCTCTTAACTGCTGAGTTATCTCTCCAGACCCTGATTTATAACTTTAAAAGATTTTCTATGTACAGAAGAGTGGCTTTTAAAGTGTGTGCGTGTGTGCAGGCATGCGTGTGGAAGTCAGATTGAATGTCAGCTGTCTCCTACCAGAAGCTCGCTGTTTCGGCTAGGCTGGCTGGCCAGTGAGCCCTGGGAATCCTCCTGTGTCTGCCCCTCAGTGTTGGAGTTACAGGCATATACAGCAAGTGCTTTTACCCATTGAGCCATCTCATCAGCTTCTAGTGACTTTCACATTTTTAACTGAAACTTGGAGTAGGAAATTTATCTCAGGACTGGCAAGAAGGCCCTGCCTGCCACCAAGTCTGGCAACTAAATTCAATCCTTGGGACCTGCATGGCAGAAGGAGAGAACCAATTTCCATAAGCTGTCCACTGACACACCCACAAAATAAATAAACACAATAAAAGTTAAAAAGAAATGTGTATAACTAAACAATACATACTGTAATGTTTTGCAAGATTTCCTATTCTATTAAAAATTGATATTCACATGACTGCCATATATTTTATATATATATATAATCACAGGCTAGGCATCTTAAATAACAAGAATTTGTTTTCCACTTTATGGAGGCTGAGAAATCCAAGATCAAAGAACTGGCTGGTTCGCTTCTTGCTGAAGACCCTCTTTATGGCTCAGACACAGCCTCCTTCTTGCCCTGTCCTACATGGCAGGGAGAGGTTTTCCCTCCTTTTCCTATGAGTGCTAACTGATTAGGGCCTCATCCTATGGTCTCTCTAAATTTTTGTTACCTCCTAGGGTTCCTCTCTCAAAATAGCACTCATGTTCCCCTAAAATGTGAGGTCGTGTTCCACTAATGCTGTGGTTCTTAATAGCCAGGAGTAGAGCCAGGAGTGAGGAGTGTGGATTTTGGTTCTAAAGCAGTAGTTTTCAACCTTCCTAATACTGTGACCCTTTAATACAATTTTTCATGTTGTGGTGACCCCCACCAAAAAATTATTTTAGTTGTGACTTCATAACTGAATTTTGCTACTGTTATGAATCATGATGTAAATATCTGTGTTTTCTGATGACCTTAGGTGACCCCTGTGAAAGGGTCAGTCCAGCCTCGGAGAGGTCGTGGCCCACAGGTTGAGAACCAATACTCTAAAGGCGTACTTGGCAGTGTCAGGAGACATTTTGGATTATCATAACCAAAGGGCTGCTGCTGGGATGTAGAGAGTAGGAGTCAGAGATGCCCTCTAAAGGGCTAAGGTTGAGAAAAGCTCTATACTAGTGACTTGGGGCTCAGTATTATGATGATTATTTGGGAGTACTATGAGCACCAAAATGACACTCTTTAATTTCTTCTTCCCCAGAGTAAGATATTTATTTTCCTGAGGTCAGGGCTAATGAGAAAGAACGAGCTAATAAAACATTACCGTGTGCCTAGGACATGCTAGGTATTGACGGAATATTTAACCCCCCACAGCACGGTGGGCCTGCACTGACGTTTGCTTTTCTCACATAAACTGAGATCCAATAGACTTAAGTTATTTGCAAGGCTATTCAAATAGTCATTCAAAAGCCAGAAGTGTAACTTATGTCTTTGGTTTTCCAGAAGTAGGAGAGAAAGAAGCACAGGGCAAATCTATACTTCTCATATAGTATCTATTATGAATACCGGAAAATCTTTGCTATTTGGATACTTAGTTGAGTGCAAATAGCTAGTTGGTAGCACAATTGAAAGAAAACAATGTTTTCTAATTCTTTTTTAAAATTTTCAGTGTGTGTGTGTGTGTGTGTGTGTGTTGTCTGTCTGTGTGTGTGTGTGTGTGTGTGTGTGTGTGTGTGTGTGTGTGTAAGTCAAAGGACGACTTGTGGGACTTAGGTCTCTCCTGTTACCTCTTGGGTCCCAGGGATGAAATGTCAATCAGCAGGCGTGGCGCCAAGCACTTTTACTCACTTAGCTATCTCACTGGCTCACTCACTTTTGATTTCTGTTGCATGCAAGAAACTATTGAATGTCGAGAAATATGGTTTTACATTCTTTGTGTTTTGAGATATGGTCTCATGTAGTCCCAGGCTGGGTTTAAACTCCTCATCCTCCTGCCTCTACCTCCCAAGTGCTGGGATTACAGCATGTGCCATATGCCTGTTTCTGTGCCGCTCTGGAAATCAAAGCGGAGGCTTCAGGCATACCAGGCAAGCACCATACCAGCTGAGCTACGTCTCCAGCCATCATTCTGGCTTTAACAATAGGAAGTCTAATCCCTTGTAGGTGAGATATGTATGCTATAACAGTGAGCATTAGTCTAGGAAAACAGTAGGAGGAGCTCTTGTCTTTCAAATGAAGAGGATGTTTAAGTAAGTCCGTCTGATAATTAAATTTATGGCACAGGCACAAGAGCTACAAATAGAATACGAATAGTATATTAAAAGTGTATAGAAAAGTTGTGGGGCGGTGGTGGCACACGCCTTTAATCCCAGCACTTGGGAGGCAGAGGCGGGTGGATCTCTGTGAGTTCGAGGCCAGCCTGGTCTACAAGAGCTAGTTCCAGGACAGGCACCAAAGCTACAGAGAAACCTTGTCTCGAAAAAATCAAAAGGAAAGTATATAGAAAAGTCAACATGAATGAAGAATTTCTTATTTCTAAATTTTAGTCAATATTATTTTTTTCTTAAAAATGTTTTATATTTATTTAGTTTATTTTATGTGTGAGTGTTTTGCTTGCATGTATGTATGTGTAACATGTGCCCTTGGAGGTCAGAAGAGGGTGTTGGATCCCCTGGAACTGGATTTATGGATAACTGTAAGCCACCATGTGGGTGCTAGGCACTGAACCTGGGTCCTCTGCAAAAGCAACAGGTGTTCTTAACTACTGAGCCATTTTTCCCGCTCCGAAATTTCATTGCATCTTCGAAATTTTTGTAATTCATATAATGGATTTAGTCAAAATTCTTTTAAGCCGAGGAATGATGAGCGAGGCGAAAGCCGTGTGGGACTGAGCCTGGGCAGGTAGTACAGTTGGTAGAGTGCCTGCTGGCACAAAGCCCTGAGTTCGAGCCTCCGCACTACATAAACCCAGAGTGGCCGTGTATGCCTGTAATCTGTGCACTTGGGAGGGCGAGGCAGGACTGTCAGGTCATCTTCAGCTACTACTTTGAGGACTGTCTCCAAAAAGGAAAGAAAAAATGAAATGTGGAATTGAATTCAGGATATTTGAATAAACTTATTCTATGCTATTTTTTTCAGGACTGATCTCAAACCCAGGGACTTGTACATGTTCAGTAAGCACTTTCCCACTGAGCCAAAGCTCAGCTCTATAGCAGGAAAAGTAAGTTAAGTAAACGCTTAGAAAAATTAGAATACTAGGTAAGATGCAAGACAGAATATAAATAAAGCATGTCAAATGTACAGTAACAGTTACCATGATGATGATACCTGGCTCGAAGGTTAAAGACAGGCTGCCCCATTGTTAGAAAAACTCCCACTATCATAAGTTATTTCAAAATGTTATCTTGGCATAATTGATTCTAATTGTTAATGAATAAATGTATTGATCAGATTATACTTATTAAGTTAATTTTACAATGCAAATATTTGGTTTACCTAAAACAACACATTAAACAAGAATTATAGTTTAGGCTTACTTTAGCAACCCCTTCAGTTTCCTCATCTGAAAAATGGCACAATAATATTAATATAATCTACTTTTTCCAGTTTTTGTGAGAACTAAGGAAGAAACTCATGCAGTTTTGTCAGTACACAACTGTGGCTGTATTGAGGCCTGGAATTTCAAGTGATAGAGCTTACCCTGATGAATTACCATGGAAGATTTCTTTGTCTGCTTGACTGGAAGAAATGCATTAGTGATCATTTACTAAGGCAGTGACCACAGACTTCAGTGGCCCTTGCTGCTTCTCGTATGTCTTAGCCCTGCTGTGCTCTTTTCTCTTAGGTGTCAGATCTATAACGTATCCCCTCACCCCCGTGCGTGTGTATAAATGTACACATGTATATGTGTGCATGTAGAGGCTAGAGGGAAACCTCACATATGCACTTTTTGGGAGTGGGGTGGGGGATAGGTGTCTTTACTAGTCTGGAATCTTCTAGGTAGGCTAGACTGGTTGGCCAGCAAACCCCAAATCCCAAGGATCTGCCTGTCTCTGACTCTCATCATTATGTCTGGCTTTTTTTTTTTTTAAACCATGGGTTCTTGGGATCAAATCCGAATCTTCATGCTTGCAATACAAGCAGTTACTGAGCCATATTCTCTGCTCGTCGTCATACCTCTGTGACTTCTGCCCCACTGTTGCTCGCAGTTGATGACCTTGCTTGTAGGTCACTGAGAAAATGGTCACTTCATCATCTACTGCCCTACATCTGCCCCACGAGCCTTCCCTTGGTAACTAGACCCTAAAAAGCCCATGTCTCTGTTCTCTCACCCACGTCCACACTAGTAGTAGTTCTCCCCCTTCTGCAGTAGCCAGTTCTTTTTCTGTTGTATTATTCCCGTCAGCAAGAATGCTGTAATGTAGCCTGTGCATAGTAGACAGAATAATAGTCCCTCAAAGATACCCGTATCTGAATTCCTAGACCTCTGTTGAGTTATATTGCAAAGAGAATTAAGGTAGATAATGAAATTAAAGCTGCTAATGAGCTGACCTTAAATTAAGATTATCCTGAATTGTCCCATTGCGACAAATGTCACAGAGTTTTCAGAAACATGGAGACAGAGGAGATCAGAGAGCGATGTGACTGTAGGCAGAGAGATGTAGGTGGTTGGCTTCAAAGGGGCGGGAGGAGCCAAAAGACCAACCCTTTAACAGATGGGCCTTTGGGAAACACTTATCTAACAATAATTACTTCTTTCTTTCTTTTTCCCAGAGGAAGAGATCATATGACTCTTATGGAACTTCCCAGCAAGTGGGCTCAGCCCCACTGAAATCAGTACCTTGGGAAAAGGCTGCGTTGCCAAGCACCTGTAAGTATTGCTCTGACTTTAGGCTGAGTTCTCCTTTTCCGGAGAAGCAATGGCAGACAAAAGTAACTTCTCATCTATGTAACTTGTAGGCATTTCACAGAGCACCAAGCCAGTGAAGCACTGTTCTTGGTGCTGGTTCCTGCCCATGAAAGCCATGAACCCAGAAGTTAACCTGAAGGGCCTCCCTAGGTCTTCACTGGCCACCTGTGTGCTCCACACATTACTTGGGTGAGGAAGAAGAAAACACTATGAAGGTGGATTTACTGCTCAGAGAGCCTTCTTTTGTTTGTGTTCCCAGTGCCTTTCAGAGTAGCAGAATAGCCGATCTGCCACCTGAGCACAGTAAAACTTTCGGCTGTGCACCATAAAAATTTGGGGCAAAAGCAATAGAAAAGACACAGGGCATTTTAGGGAGTACTTAATTAGATGATGAGAGCCGTCCTGTTTGAAACTCAACCAAACTGAATGCCATCAAACTTCTTTTGGTCTCCTAAATCCAAAATGAAATCTCCTCAGCTACATAGATGGTCAGGTTAGCCATAGAGGGGTTAGATATTGTTTAGATAAATAGGCTCAATTGTTGGGACACGTACAGACGTGAGCCTGTTCTACCTTGTCTGAAGGTCAGAGAGTTTGAGCTTAATTTTTGCTCTTCCAAAGTTGTTGTTAACAGGTGTAGCCTGACCTAGGGTGTGGTTACTTGGTGTTTTGGACATTAAGATGGCCATTAGAGGTGGATCTGCTCCATCCTGATCAAAGGTCAGAGAATTCAAGCATACTCCTGTAGTCCTTCATTTAAAACAGGAGGTTTGACATAGGGAGTGACTGCCTACAGGATACTTGGTCTAGGGTGTGTTCATTGCTACAAACATCAAATGCTTTACTCAGGAAATAGTGACTTGATGTTTCAAGTATTGAAACAAGTAACTGTCCTGGTTGTCCTTTGTGTCATGGTAAAGCAGTCTTTTATTTCTTTCCCCCTTTTCTATTGGGTTATGAAAGCGTATAAAAAGTAAAGACAGGCAAATTCAGCATTCAGTATTTGCTGAGTTGCCTTCCTGGTACTATTCTATGTCTCTGTGTTTGTTTCTTATCTCTGTTCTTCTTTTCTAACATTTATAATTCACACACCTCTACCCTGGAACATATGAAGGTGCTATAGCTAGGACTATGGCAGAAGTCACCCCAAAAGGTGACTCAATAGCACCATGTCTTAGCATAACTTTAAAGTATTATAAATGAACAAAATTCCTCTAAGCCAGATGCTACTAAGTTTAAAAACAGAAAATTGGCCAAAGGATGAAAAAAAATAGTAATGGTAAAAATTTGAGACTATGAAGCTCGATACTTCTTTTCCCAAGTGTAATAAACAATGATGGAAGATATCTCTTTTTTAAAAATATTTATTTATTTATATTTTACGTACATTGGTGTTTTATCATGAGTGTTGGGTCTCCTGGAACTAGAATTACAGACAGTTGTGAGCTGCCATGTGATTGCTGGGAATTGAACCCAGGTCCTCTGGAAGAGCAGTCAGTGCTCTTAACCACTGAGCCATCTCCCCAGCCCCTGGAAGATATCTTTTCAAAATGAAATGCTGTTGGAAAATAAAATAGAGAAACTGAGGGCCATCTGCCTCTGTCTCCCAAATCCTGGGATTGAAAGTGTGTGACACCACTGCCTGGCCTCTAGTGGCTTAGTTTTATCTTCTGGTCTTCAGGCAAACTTTATTTATAAAACATGAATAAAATATCACTATAGTGTTTTGTGGTATTTCATTTGTAAAAACAAACAAATAAACAAACAAATAAATAAATAAAATTGCCTAAATATTAGAAAAGTAAAGCAGCCGCTCTGGCTAGCCTTCATACCAGGCAGAGGTGACACACACCTTTAATCCCAGTAGCCACACTAGATTCCCATAGAAACCAGGCAGTGGTGGTGCATGGCCTTAATCCCAGAACTAGAGAGGAATATAAAATGGGAGGAGATAGCGCTCAGTCTTAGTCTCATTCTGAGTTTTCTTGGAGGCTGGATCACCATTTCGTAGCTAGGTCGAGGTAAGAGCCAGTGGCTTGCTGCTTTGCTTTTCTGGTCTTCAGGTTGAATCGCAATATCTGTTTCTGGGTTTTTATTAGCTGTGCTTCAATTGTGGGCCCTTAGAGCATGCTGGAACTGGATTTAAAATTAACTCTGCCATCTACTAATTCTGTGACCTTTAGTGACTTTAAAGAGCTAGAGAAGCAGCTCCGCTAAGCTCCCCGAACTCTAATTTTCTCATTTATACTTGGGGATAATAAGTAATAAGTATCTTTTAGAGTTTTTTTTTTTTTTTGGTTTTTCAAGACAGGATTTCTCTGTAGCTTTGGAGTCTGTCCTGGAACTAGCTCTTGTAGACCAGGCTGGCCTCGAACTTATAGAGATCCACCTGCCTCTGCCTCCCAAGTGCTGGGATTAAAGGTGTTAGCCACCACTGCCCAGCGAGATTTGGCTTTTAAAAAAGTTAACATTTGTTTTTGTAAAGAACACAGGGGTTCTCAGCAACGATGGCTGTTTATTTTTTTATTTTTTTTTTATTTTTTTTTTTTAGTAAATTTTATTAAATTATAAAAGTTTCCATTTCCACCCCCCCTCCCAACACCCTCCCACTCCCCCTACTCCCCCTCCTCCTCCCTCTTCGTCCCCCAGGGCAGTCAGGGTTTCCTGCCCTGTGGGAAGTTCCAGTTCGATGGCTGTTTATTACAGCTTAATGGTGATGTAAAAAAAAAATCCACTTATAGATCAACATAACTCACATATATTTTGAAAAAAATATCTCACCCAGGAGGAAATCCAAACAGTTAACTTTAAGGATGTCCAGCCTCGCAAAGAAATTTGTAATACATTTAAAAATAGATGTCTCTTACATCTATTGAATGTTTGACGAAATAATCCAAACATTCTAACTTTTTTCTTTGGCTTTTGTTTTTGAGACAGGCTAGCCTTGAACTTATGATCCTCCTGCTTCAACCTCAGTGATTGCTCCTATTATAAGTGCATGTCACCACACTGGGCAACATTGTACTATGAATGGGTACTGAGTAACAGTATGGTACTTTTGGTTTCTGGCACTATAGATCAGCCTGATTTTTCCAAATGGCAGTCTCATAAAACATACCCTGGAACTCATAATACCATCTGGAAAAACACTTTCTAAGGAAATAATTGAAAAGGAAACTTGTTTGTACAGATATTTGTAACTTTCTTTTTAGTTCCAGACTTTTGTGACTTTAGAACTAAAAGAGGTGAGATGATTTTCCCTCTTGTTTCATGTTGGAATCACTTGGAGCTTTAAAAAAGCATTCACGTCCATTCCGAAGATTCCCACTTAATTGTTCTAGAATACAGCCTTGTCCTAAGTATGGTTTAGAGCTGCTCAGATGAGCCTAACGTGTATCCAGGAAAGAGAATTGCTCTTGCCCCTCCCTATCAAGGGGCCTGTGAAAACACAAGAACCAGAGAGATTAAAAGGCCTCACAGAAGAAAACATGGGTGATGGAAGATCTAGGTAGAAATGAAGATTCACCTACTGCCTCCTTCCAATTGCAAATTCCAGAAGTACCTATGTGCTTAGCATTTAGACTAGGCAACAAAGTACAGCAGTAATACGATGCATCCTGTCAGACCACTGAAGGGATGGCTGTGGCAGGGCGGAAAGGAAGGCATATGCAGCTGGACAACCATGGTGACCAGGATCCACACTGCCCCTCATGCAGAGCAGCAATTGTTTCTGCTGGAACTCTTGCCTCCTTCTTGGGGGAGCACAGCTCTTTCTGCTGGAAGGGTGGGGCTCTGAGCATCCAGTACTCATAGGTGGTGAACTGGCCATGCAGAGCAGATATGAGTCAGCAAGTGTTCCCCCAGCCCCCCTTTACCTCTTCATGCTCTGTGGCATGAAGTACGCTGCTCTCGCTCATCTCTAGAACTTTTCACCTCTCCCAACCAAAATTTCACACCCATTAAATACACCACCCCAGCCCCTGGCAGCTGCCATTCGTTGTTCTGTCTCCACGAATCTGACTCTTAGAGGTAGGCTCAGGGAGTAGTGGTTCGGCTGGCTCCGTCAGCAGCTCTGGAGACAAACAAGGTGGATGGTACTGAAAGCTGTTCTGATCTGTTACTTGCCTGTTGATCCTGGGCCTGGCTGTTTCATCATTCTTATTTTTCCCATCTCTAAGTAGTTCCTGGTTCTTTATCAAATGGCCATTATATGTCAAGAGACATGCTAAATACTGGGAGTCCTACACAAAGAGACCAGCTTCTGTCTACAGGTAATTCACAGCACAGGAAACAGAAACACAAACACTGTTTACGTATCATATGATAGAATTCACAGCCTAGTGGAATTGGGGACATTTTCCCAAGGGGATGACAAGGAGTCCCCAAGGAGAGGAAGTGAAGCCAGGAAAGAAGTATGCATGTGGTAGGCAAACAGAGCATGGCTCCTTGGAGGGACTGAGGCAGTCAAGCCCCAGAGCTTGGGGAATTGCAAGGACTTACCCATGGTTGGAGCTCAGGAGCAGTTAGGGAAACAGAGGGGGTGGGGCTGGAGGATTATGCAGGCTCCAATGCCAAGATTCCCTACACTAAGGAGGGTAGCTGGAAAAGCAAGGAGGGGCCCTGGGAAGATTCTAAGGGACAGAAGATGGAATGAGCTGTCTGCGCATGTCCTTGGTCCCCAGCTGCAACCCTGATTCTGCCTTGGCTTCAGGACCTGGTTTGTTGTAGTTTATCACAGTGCCCAGGCTTTCAGACAGTGTAGTGTGTCTTAGTACTGATGCTTGAGTAGATCCAATAATTCTGACAAATGACATGAAATGTGTCGGTTAGTCTGGAAAATAAAGGGATTCACGAGTGAAATGTGGTTCTAATTGCTAATGCCTTTGTGTGGAAACAGTGATGAAGTCTGTGTGGAAACAGTGATGAAGTCATCAGTCTTCTCAAAATGCAACGTTCTGTAATCTTCTGTCTCTGGAATTCGAGCATGTTATTTGATGACAAACATTAGTTGACAATGAGAGGAAAACATTACAGCCCGAGTCAAGCAAAGATTCTGTCAGAATCACAGGAAGGGGGTTGGGGCAGAGTGAAAGAGAAAAGGAAAGAGCCAAGCAGATAGCTGCCTGACTCACTATTCTTAGTGTTTAGCCACAGGAGAACTCAGCATGCACAGAACCCTTCATTAACCAGTGGTGAGCAGAAGGGCATGGTGTGAGCAGAAGGGCGTGGTGAGAGCAGAAGGGCGTGGTGAGAGCAGAAGGGCGTGGTGAGAGCAGAAGGGCGTGGTGAGAGCAGAAGGGCGTGATGTGAGTATAGTGTAGTTACTTTCTTATCATCTTGGGGTATATTAGAGTATCTTAGACTATAATATAGGTAGTTGATGTTCAGGGCTTGGAACCTGCTTGCCATTTAAGTTGTTGTGCCACAAGCCAGGTGGTGGTGGTGCACACCTTTAATCCCAGCACTCAGGAGGCAGAGGCAGGTGGATCTCTGTGAGTTTGAGGCCAGCCTGATCTACAGAGCAAGTTCCAGAACAGTCAGGGCTGCTATACAGAAAAACCACCCTGTCTCAAAAACAAACAAACAAACAAACAAAAAATAAAACAAAACCTAAGAAAGGTATTGCCCCATATCTCTGCCCTCATTTACCCCCCAGACAGTGTAGTCTAGGAAGAGAGGTGTCAAGGCCAGGGTTTGTGTAATGGTGTGTCCTGTCCCTTTAAGAAACAAGTGTCCCCCACTCACCCCCACCCTGTCTGCTGAGGCAAGAGGACCTTCTGTCCTTCTTTTCTATCTCTCTTCTAAAGAGGTAGCTTCTCTCTCTCTCTCTCTCTCTCTCTCTCTCTCTCTCTCTCTCTCTTTCTCTCTGCCTCTCTCTCCTCGTCCCCCTTCTCCCCCCCTTTCCCCTTTTCTCTTCTCTTCCATAACTCACTAAGTAAATATAAATATTCAATCTGCATGGTGTGCTATCCGCATCTCTCTCACCCGCCTCATGGCTCCCTGCCTGGGACCCAGTGCCCCATGCCCCTCATGGTGGGGCTTGTCCCTTAAAGGGACAGGACAGACCATTGTATTTTGGATCTAGGGTGGTGGCAGAAACCAAGATCACTCCTTCACCTCTGCCTCAGTAAGAGTTTCCGTCAGTGCCCCTGCCTTCCCACCATTTTACTGCTTGTGCAGAAATATTTTATCTGCCTCTCCTGACTTGACCAACAGTCCTAGGCCAGGTTCAACCTAGCAACTGAGAGCTTCCCTCCTGAAGCAAACATAGAGTATGGTAGGTAATATTGGTTGTCAAATTGGTAGGAATTAGAATCACCATAGAAACATACCTCTGGGTCACTATAGAAACACATCTCTGGGTTACCATAGAAACACACCTCCAGGTCACCATAGAAACACACCTCCAGGTCACCATAGAAGTACATTTCCACTATAGAAACACACCTCTGGGTCACCATAAAAACACACTTCTGAGTGTGTCTTTAAGGATGTTTCCAGAAAGGTTTAACTGAGTGGCAAAGACTCACCTTGAATGTGAGTGACATCATCCCATGGTCTGGGGTCCCAGACTGAGGGAAAAAGAGATAGCCAGCCGACAGCATGCTTTTCTCTCTCTGCTTCCTGACTGTGAACATACGTGACCAGTGGCTTCATGTTCCTGTCACTGTGCCTCCCTCTCATGACAAGCCACGCCTCGAGCTGTGAGCCCAGGCAAGCTCTTTCCTTCAGGCATTTTGTCATAGCAGTGAGCAACAGTTAATACTGAGGGTCTGGAGAGGCAGAGTAAAGGTTCTTGTGATGGGGAAAGAAGTGAGAGAAGGAAGTATAGGCCCAGGAAAGAACAGAAAGAAATTAATATTTGAAGGCATGAGTGAAGCCTTCCACAGAAAACCAAGGTCTCTTTGGGATTGCTTGAGCTTACTGGGGGCAGAGTCTACTCCAGAGACATGGCAGTGGGCAGAACCTGGGAGCTGTACCATCACAGGTTTGCCCTTTCCCAGAAGGCCTGGTTCGGAGGGAACTTGCTCAGGACATTTGCAGCTGCAGGGCCTGATGGGAGACGGGTGGCTTCACATTGCCACTGCTCAGATAACTAGTTCTAATTTTAGATCCAGATCTAGTTCAGAACTGGTTCATTTAATAACTGGGTGAAACTTGGCTTCTGGAAAGGATTCTAGGCCCAGTCCTCTCACTATTCCCACGGTCCCCTCTTCCACACCCTCCCACTTCACTGCTTGCAACCCACAGCCTTAAATGGTAACACAAACACATTTCTGGATTGTTTTCAGGGACATCAGAGGTTAAAAACAAAACAGCACCAAAGAAGGGACATGTCAGAGGTGAGATATCAACTCCAAGCACTTCCTTTTGAGAAGAAACTGTTCCAGGTAAGGTATGCTGGTCAGTTTATGAGTGAGGACAGAGTAGGTCAGTCACCTTCTAGATCAAAAGCTGAGAAACTCCATCTAGAGACAACTTGAGAAGGAATGCAGCTTTAAAGCCTAGAGGCATGAAGTGGTTCTTGAAGTCATTCAATAAACAGCAAGGCGAGATGTCAGATACCCAAGACCCACCCTACCTACAGGCACGCACATGCACGCATGCGTGCGCGCACACACAGAGAGACGGATACACACACAGCAAATTTAAGCTAGTGGGGATACAAGCTAGTTACCCTACAATTGTAGGTTACCCCAACTGCAGCCTTTAAAAAACTCGGTAATTCACTTAAGATTTTTCTTATGTTTAGATGATCCACATTGGAGAGATAGGGCTTAGAATTTGGAAATTTTTAACCACAGGGCCTGTATCAGTTATTTTTCTTCCCCTTTCCCAGCATAACGTTAGATTTCCCTCTTTATTTCTCACCTTGTAAAGGTGAGGGACTCTTTTAGATGTTGCTTTATGAAGCTCTAACCGGGAATCATGTCTTCCTCCTGTGCCACGCCCTTACTGCATCGTGTCACTGAGTCCACCATCGTGTAATTGTCTCTAAGGGCTCTTTTCACTCTGCAGTGTGCTGCGCTGTGCTCGGTGTGCTGCGCTGTGCTCGGTGTGCTGCGCTGTGTTCGGTGTGCTGCGCTGTGCTCGGTGTGCTGCGCTGTGCTCTGTGTGCTGTGCTGTGCTGTACCTCAGTGTGCGATGTGCTGCGCTGTGCCTCGGTGTGCTGCGCTGTGCTCGGTGTGCTGCGCTGTGTTCGGTGTGCTGCGCTGTGCCTCGGTGTGCTGCTCTGTGCCTCGGTGTGCTGCGCTGTGCTCGGTGTGCTGCACTGTGCTCGGTGTGCTGTGCTGTACCTCAGTGTGCGATGTGCTGTGCTGTGCTCGGTGTGCTGTGCTGTACCTCAGTGTGCGATGTGCTGCGCTGTGCCTCGGTGTGCTGCGCTGTGCCTCAGTGTGCTGTGCTCGGTGTGCTGCGCTGTGCTCGGTGTGCTGTGCCTCAGTGTGCTGCGCTGTGCTCAGTGTGCTATGCTGTGCCTCGGTGTGCTGCGCTGTGCCTCGGTGTGCTGTGCGCAGCCTGTGCAGGGGCATTCAGCAAATGCTTCATGCACTAAACTGAGTAGATGCAGACTTTCCATTTTTCATATTATAGATATGAGTTTTAGTCTTAAATTAAAGCCTAGGAAAAAGCTTTCTTATTTTAGGTGTAATTTGGTTCTTAATTGTTTTCTTCACATTTCATTTCTTAACAATACTTCTTTCATTCCCCCCTCATGCAGAGAGTGATGGTCTGCTACTAATTACTTTGTGTCCTACAGTAAAGTGAACGTGAGCTGGCTGAGTGCTGGGCCTAAATAAAGCTTAAACGTCTATTTTGTCTGTAGTCACTCATCATTTTATACTCAGAAAATGCTAGCATTCTTCCAGTTAGCTTAAAGAGAAAAATTTATATCTGCCTTAAAACCAGGCGTTTCCTTAAGAGAAGAAACTAGCTAGAATTCTCCTCTCTCTGAATATAGAAGAGTGGAATTATAGAATTAAAGTACTATTTATTTATTTATTTATGGTTTTTTGTTTGCTTGTTTGTTTGAGACAGGGATTCTCTGTGTAGCCCTGGCTGTCTTGGAACTCACTCTGTAGACTAAGGTGGCCTGGAACTCACAGAGATCCACTCCTGAGTGTTGGGTTTAAAGGCATGTGCTACCACCACCCAACTTGAATTAAAGTGTGTTTTATAGACAATGTGGTCCCAATGAACCGCATCTACCAGAAAAGTCTCTTGGCACTCTGCAAGGAAAACCTAACGAGAGTTCTTGAAGAAAATGGTTTCTGCAGTTTATAGCTGTAGTTGCATATTTTCTGTTCATTGTTGGTGTGTATGCCATGTGTTCATGTGTGAGAATGGTGTGCATGTGTGGAGGACAGGAGACCGCTTGCTGGAGTTGGTTCTTCCTTTCACTCAGCTGGGGTGTTTGTCTCATTCAGTTGGACTGAGTATTCCAGGTCCGCTGGCCCACCAGCTACGTGGTGGTCCTCTTGTCTCTGCCTGTCGGCTTGCTGTAGGACTCCTGGGCTACAGGCTCTATGGTATTCTGGAATTACAGATATGAACCATTCTCCTGTGGCTATAAGCTCTATGGTGTTCCGGAATTACAGATGTGAACCATTCTCCTGGGCTACGGGCTCTATGGTATTCTGGAATTACAGAAGTGAACCATTCTCCTGTGGCTATAAGCTCTATGGTGTTCCGGAATTACAGATGTGAACCATTCTCCTGCGGCTACAGGCTCTATGGTATTCTGGAATTACAGATGTGAACCATTCTCCTGTAGCTATAAGCTCTATGGTGTTCCGGAATTACAGATGTGAACCATTCTCCTGTAGCTATAAGCTCTATGGTGTCCCGGAATTACAGATGTGAACCGTTGCTCCAGACTTCTTTTCACATGGAGTCTGGGGAGGGAACCTGTGCTGTCAGGCGGAGCCCCTTCTTCCTCTTACCGTAGAAGAAACAGAATTGGTTGGGAACAAAGAAGCAGTTAGTTGGGCTGTCCCTCCCTGCCCTTGAGTTTGGAAGGACACAATAATGAATTCCTTTTCCTGAGGCTTTTGCTAAAAAACAAGGAATTAAATATTTACATCAGAAGCTCTGATGCATTTTGTCAACTTTCCTGAACTGAGAGGAACAAGGAGTGTTCATCGTGAAGTGAAATGGCCACCACGCGGTACGTTGGGTCAGCCTTGAGTTCTTTCTTTCACGCTATGCCTTTTGCCTCTGGTACATGTGTTACCAGTGGCGCACACAAAGCCACATCTTGGCAGTAAAATTCCATGAAGTCCATTTTGAGGATCAGATTCCTACACCTGTTTTTAGCTATAAACACAGGCCATTTGTTTTGCACTTAAAGCAATAAAGTTATATTGGACACTGGCCGTGTAACCCCGTGAACCCGCTCTATTTGATTTAATCAGGCCAGATTCATGGAACCATCAGCCTAATCCTACTGCTCGTGCAACTTCTGCTGTACTGTTTCGTCTCTCCTGGGTCTGGGACTACCCTCCCCATGTGCTGCTATATTTATCTGCCTTCTTGGCCATAAAAGGCTGGCTGTGGGGCCCTGACATTCTGCTGCCTGACCACATGCATTATTTTTGAACTGGCCCCCTGATCCTGCCTCTAGCCCTGCCTCTTAACTTTCTCTGGGATTCAGCCACCTAGGGTCCTCATTCTCGCCTCCTGCTCCTTGGCCACAGCAGTGGAACATCCCCCGGCCATCTCTGCCCCAGACACTGGTAAGTGTGACTCAGAGGTGACAAATGCACTCTGTAGTTTATGTCTGTCTTTTCAGCTCAGCAGGGAAATGCAGCGGAACGCCCCTGGAAGTGGGGAGCAGGGCAGCAGGGTGCCTGCTGGGGCCGGTATGATCTTGCTATGTCACTATATTCTTTTGAAATGAAACTGCTGTTCCTGAAACTATAAGATCATATTGTTTCAGATTCAACTCCAAGTTAGAGTTCAGCAGTTTGGTTGAAGTCTGGACTGGATGAGGGACAGGGAGTTGTGAAGTGTTTTCCCTCCTCTGCATGCCTACAGATCTATCTCAGTCCCCTCGTGCAAATTAGGCCAGATGGATACAAATTCTCTTCAAAGGCACTAACGCAAGATCTAGTGTGGGTGAACTCTCAAGTGCACTGTGTTATTTCTGACTTGAAAATGGTTGGGTACTAGAGAGGTGGCAGAGCTTGCACTGTGATCCTGAAATTATTTTCATCAGCTTTTGGCCTCTGCTGCCAGCATTAAGAGTACTGCCCCAAGATTACAATTACAGAGTTAGTATTTCTTCCTCAGCTCCCAAATTATTTTTAGGAACAAAATTTAGGTTTCAAAACAAAATTATCTTTCTTTCTAACAAATTCTGGCTGCTGTGTATTGAACTACACCTGACTCACACAAGAAAAGAAAGTGGTTATACCTTGGTTCCAAAGGTCAGTCAGTCCTGGTGACTTAAAGTCAAGCCCTGTTTACTGGTAATACATGACTCCTATGTACTAAGTAGTAGATATTAATAAAATAAATATACTTGGGGTCAGATAGCAAAGACTGGAAAATAGAATTAGGGTAATACATTTAAATAATCTGTTCTGTGGAAATGATAGCATTTTGAATCATCTGGGTGGTAGTGTTAGTTTATAATGTAATATAATATAATTACATTATAATATAGCGAAAGATCTTTATTATTTGTAAGCCACTCTGATGGCACTGCTGCAGAGACTTCTCTAGCACTTCATGACACTAATGCCATTCTACATTAATATATCCTAACTTTTTATACTATAAACATTATCTATTCATCAAGTACAATTCTGTATATTTAGTAATAGGAAAAGCAATCTATTTAAGTGTTCCTTGCTAGTAGCTATTTTTTCTTCTTCTTAGGAAATGACATGTAGACTGGTATTTTCCATGGGACCTAAGATGCATATTTCTGAATTTTCTTCTTTAGAGAGTATACTTTGACTTTTTAAGTAGCTTAAATAAATTTAGTTTTGAATTTGACAAAAATTAAAAGAACTCACTTAGGATTTTTAAGCAAAATCAGGTTTGAAAAAAAACTTCACTTGAAAACAATTTTCTTACATATTTTTGAAAATAATATTTCAAAATATTATGCATTAAAACTTAGGGGGAAATGTCTATAAAATTATGACATACCCTGGTTTCCCACATAGCTGGTAGTCTTTCTTTGGTGATACATTATTTATAAGAGCGAATGTGGGGGCTCCGTGGTAAAGGCGCGTCCTGCCAAGCCTGCTGAGTTCCATCCCTGGAACTCACATGCTGGGGGGAAAGAGTAGATGCTAACAAGTTGTCCTCTGCCCTCTGTGTACATGCAGTGACACACATGTACCCCACATGAAATTAATTAATTAACAGATGGACAGATGTAACTAGAAAAGTAAGTGTGAAACCTCCCCTCCTGAAGCTAAACGACCAGCCCAAGTTCACACTGCCAGCTGCCACACTGAGGCCTGACTTTCTTTATATAGTAAGAATCGAAATATCCATATTTTTATTTGGAATAAATACTTTTTCTGGTTTGAAAGTTGCCAAGTGTTTACAAGATTTGGGAGAACATATATTCATAAACATTAGCAGACCCCAGCTTAGTTCTGGGGCTTTTCTGTTTCTACTCATATTCATCCTCTTCTCTCACCTCGGAAAGGGTATCACTGTGCAGTCTTAGCTGATCTGAAACTTTCAGAGCCCAGGATGACCTCAACTCACAGAGATCCACCTGTCTCTGCCTCCAGAATGCAGGGATTAAAGGTGTACACCACCACCCAGCAATCTTCTTGGTTTTCAGTTTCACCTACATGCAATTTACTCGAAGATTTAATGTCCATCCTACACTATGACCCTGTACTTCATTTGGCTTCCCACTTAGACCATCAACTATAGGGTGTATCAGGTACCTTAAATGTAGGACGTCTGCAACCATCCTCTGGATTTTTCCATCCCAGATGACACTTTCTTCCCTTCCCCATCTCAGATAATGGTAACTTCACTCTCCTTGTCAGGAGGAAAGTAAAGCCTTGGGAACATTGCTTTTTCCTTCATGTG